CTCCCTCTAAATAAGTAACCCATCCTAAAAGATAGTTTGTAAATCACACAGGTGCAAAACCTTATCAAGTATTTTCGGCGTCTTCAAATGATCAAATTCCAATACCAAGTCTCTTAGGAAAGTCACTTAACTTTGTGAAGTGTGTTTTTCTCTCCTGGAGCCAAATGATTGCTGTGGCCCTTTCACCTTTGCATCCACTTTAAAATTTTCACTGTGGAACTGATCTATTGCTTGAGTGAGCAGCATGGATCTTTGAGGCATCTTCCAAAGGTACCCAAAAGATTGAGGGGAAACCAAAGCTAGCATCTCATTTGCTTTAACTAGACTTCAGACCAAATGATACTGCAAAACTAGAATAACATTTTTGTTTCTGAGCATCTACTGGGTGATGGGCATTTTTCTTACATTAACATATTAACCTTTATAACCATCCTGTGAGTTACTGTTATTCATGTTTTATGGAGAAAGAAACAGCCAGTGTGTTGTAGAACCAATCATACTATATCTAGTGTGGAAATAGGGACAACATAAATACCTTGTTTATAGTATCTTTAAGAGGCCAAAAGAGGGGAAAAGATCCAGAAGCTGTGAACATTAAGTCTAAAATGTAGTTAAACTGGGGGTCCACACCTAATCTTGGAAGCCAAGTTCATCCAAGTTCTGTTTTGGCAAATCATCTTGTATTAGAACACAGCCATGTTCATTTATTCATGCATTGTCTATGACTGCTTCCACACTTCAAAAGGAGAAATGAACAGTGGTGACAGCCTTCAACTAAAATGTTTATTATCTAATAATAATAAGATAATGTTTATTATCTTGTCCTTCAATAAAACATACTGAAGTATGGCAGAGCCTTAAATTTATAACTCACTCATCTCTGTGCACCACCCCCTTTGCTGCTAAAATTTCTGCAGAAAAAAATTGTTATCGAGATCCAGTGTAGTGTTTGATTTTATCTAGCTTTATTCAAAGCTACTGACATTTCCTTCTCCACACCACTGCCATGGCTGACATTAGATCAGCTCAACCACACATCCCTTGTCACTATTACCTTACAGTCCAAAGTCTACAGCTACAATGAGAGCTCAGTAGGCTTCCCTATCCCCAAGATTCTAGCTTCCTGATTCACATACAACCTAGTAATCCTCCAAAATAGCAGGGGGAACTTCTAAATTGGGGTTAGGATCAATGTGACAAAATTGTATTTTCTATATGGTTGTGTTATGGTTAAAAATTGTAATAGAATTGTCTGTTTAAAAATAGATTGCTGGTCTCCATATGCTATTTGTGATAGATAGGACCGAAGCTTTAGTCCATTTTGATTCTTTTCAAACAAAAGCTGTTTTCTCAACTGCCATATACCCCATGTATATTACCTGCTCATCTCAACGGTATGACCGGATTCATATATAAGGATGCAAGCACAGCTTGTGAAAGTCAGACAGGTGATTGATTTATATCTTTAAAAGCAAGAATATTTCCCATGAGGAAGAAACAATAAAGTTCTCTGGAAATTCAATCTTTTTATAACAATTTGAGATACAATTCACATAATGTACAGTTTACACAAAGTGTATAAATCAGGGGGGTTCTAGACACGGAGCTGCACCATCATTCCTAAGATCA